GGCCAAATGCCCAGCCCCTGCCTAAGACCCCACCCTGCCTTTCCAAAGGTGGCTCTGTGGGGGTGCTGCCAGCACCGAGGTGAAGCTCACACACCTGCAGTTTCTGCCAGGGCCCCCCTGCCCCGATGCATCACCAGCAGGTCCCCTCCATCCTTCCCCCACACTCATGGCCCACATTTCCCTGCTTCCAAAATGCACAGGGCCCATCTCTCCACCCCTCAGCTCCCTACCTCCCAGCTGGGTAGCAGCCATCAGCTAGGTTCGACTCCTCCCATTCCATTCCAGAGTTACCATGAACACGCCCTTCTCGGGCAGGAGATCACGAGGGTGGGACGACAGCCAGCCGAGGCAGGGCCCTCCAGACCTCAGGCCCCTGTCTGGAAGCCTTGAGACACTGCTGAGAGCAACAGGTGCATGCATTTCTCGGGGTTGCCACAGCCAAATGCCACTGAGTGGCTTAAAGCTACAGAGCTCACAGGTCTGGAGGCCAGAAGCCCAACATCAGAGGGTCACAAGGCTACATGCTCCTTTTTGAAATCCATACATAGTTGTTTCATATTATACATTTGATAGGAACTTTTTAAAAAATGTTTATTTATTTGAAAGGCAGAGTTACAGAGAGAAGAGGAGAGGGAGAGACACAGAGACCTTCCACCCACTGGTTTCTTTCCAAATAGCCAGGACTGGGCCAGGACAAAGCCAGGAGCCAGGAGGTTCATCCAGGTCTCCCACATGGATACAGGAGCCCACGCACTTGGGCCATCTTGCACTGCTTTCCTAAGTGCATTAGAAGAGAGCTGGATCGGAAGCAGAGCAGACGGAACCTGAACCAGTGCCCATGAGGGATGTTGGCGCTGCAGGCTCTGGTTTGGCCCCAGCTGATGTAGCCATTTGGGGAGTGAACCAGCAGATAGAAGATCTCTCTCTCTCTCTGTCTCTAATTCTTTCAAATAAAATGAGTATTTTTTTTTTTTTTAAATAAAATAGGGTCTTTACAGAGGTAATCTAATTCAATGGGAAATCTGGAAACAGATGTGTAGAGAGGAAAGACAAGATGAAGACATACAGGAAGAAGGCCACATGGGCATGAGGGGTTGAAATCTTGCATCTACAAGCCAAAAAACGCCTGGGCTTGTTTGAAGCTAGAGGGAGCAAGAGACATCAATCAAACATGACAGCAGAACATTAGACGCTGTGAGACCAGTGATAATACCCAGCCTGAGCTCAGTGCATGGAGCCTGGCAAACAGTGTGGCCTGAGTGTTATGGGCTGGACCTGGAGAACAGGACGTGGACCCTGCCTTCAGGGAGCTTTCTGTCCACATGAGGCATCAAGACATCCTCAGAAGAGACGCAGAGCTGGGCAGGGTGGACGACGGCCAAGAGTTGCAGGGTCTCAGCTTCACATGACCTTTCTTTAAGAAAATCACTGTTGGCCGGCGCCGCGGCTCACTAGGCTAATCCTCCTCCTAGCGGCGCCGGCACACCGGGTTCTAGTCCCGGTCGGGGCGCCGGATTCTGTCCGGTTGCCCCTCTTCCAGGTCAGCTCTCTGCTGTGGCCCGGGAGTGCAGTGGAGGATGGCCCAAGTGCTTGGGCCCTGAACCCCATGGGAGACCAGGAGAAGCACCTGGCTCCTGCCATTGGATCAGTGCAGTGCGCCGGCCGCAGCGCGCCGGCCGCGGCGGCCATTGGAGGGTGAACCAACAGCAAAAGGAAGACCTTTCTCTCTGTCTCTCTCTCTCACTGTCCACTCTGCCTGTCAAAAAAGAAAAAAGAAAAAAGAAAATCACTGCAAGACAACTCAGCAGATGTTTGTTTGGAAAATACTGAGTGAAACCGTAATACAGTGAGCCCACTGGCACAGGGCTTCAATGCCAAGTGACACCTTCCTGTCACCAAAAGCTGACCATCCGCAGTAGGGTTTCCAGATCTCATTCAACTACCACCTTCTGTCATGTTTTATGCAACCTGAATGCTATTCTTAGCGTTTTTCTTTCAGTCAGCTCATTTTTAGCATTATCCCTTCACAAAACATCAGGAAGTTCCCCTTACAGTAAATGCATAACTACTGAGATAAAAAAGTCATCTGTCAACCGCCCCAAGTCACCTGTTGTGGTACGCATGGCACTGCAACTCAATAAACACAGATCTGGGGCCAGACAGGTCCACCTCCCCCGCTCACCCAAGCAAGACCGCACTAAGTGGCACTGTCAGCACACGGTGCCATTGAGTGACCACTCCCATGGCCCGAGCACCAGGCTCAGCACGTCAGACACATACAATCATGCAATCACCGCAGTGATCCTAGAGACGTACAAGGGTCTTCACAAAGTTCATGGAAATGCAGTGTGAAAACCTGCATGAAGTTCAAATTTATTTTTGTACTAACACGTACCTTTTAATTCCATTTCCACAAACTTTTTAAGGTTCTTGTACAATCAATATGCTATAGAAGAATAGTGGGAGCAGAATGTAATTCTTGAAGGTTTGTTAAAAAAAAATGCTTGGGGCCGGCGCCGCGGCTCAATAGGCTAATCCTCCGCCTTGCGGCGCCGGCACACCGGGTTCTAGTCCCGGTTGGGGCGCCGGATTCTGTCCCGGTTGCCCCTCTTCCAGGCCAGCTCTCTGCTGTGGCCAGGGAGTGCAGTGGAGGATGGCCCAGGTGCTTGGGCCCTGCACCCCATGGGAGACCAGGAGAAGCACCTGGCTCCTGCCATTGGATCAGTGCAGTGCGCCGGCCGCAGCGCGCCGGCCGCGGCGGCCATTGGAGGGTGAACCAACGGCAAAAGGAAGACCTTTCTCTCTGTCTCTCTCTCTCACTGTCCACTCTGCCTGTCAAAAAAAAAAAAATATGCTTGTTCTGACAGATGCAGCTAAGATGACGTGTATGGGGACAAACTGCCGAAAGTCTGGGTGCCACGCTAAGGGGTTCTGATTTAGTTCCGGGAGTCATAAGGAATCATTGAAGGTCTTTGAATTAATTAGCGAAAGGAGCACTAGTGGGGCCGGCACCGTGGATCACTTGGTTAATCCTCTGCCTGCGGTGCTGGCATCCCATATGGGTGCTGGGTTCTGGTCCCGGTTGCTCCTCTTCCAGTCCAGCTCTCTGCTGTGGCCCGGGAGGGCAGTGGAGGATGGCCCAGGTGCTTGGGCCCTGCACCTGCGTGGGAGACCAGGAAGAAGCACCCAGCTCCTGGCCTTGGATGGGCGCAATGCTGCCATGGTGGCCATTTGGGGAGTGAACCAACGGAAGGAAGACCTTTCTCTCTCTCTCACTGTCTATACCTCTACCTGTCAAAAAATTTTAAAAAAAGAAAAAAAGAAAGGAGCACTTGTGAGCTGCAGGGACCACAGCCTGGTGTAGGGGAGACCAGAAGCCATCAGGAGCTGCTAGGCAGTGGCAGCAGGGATTGGGAATGGGAGAGTAGGTGGAAGAGTTGTCTCGTGAATGAGACAGATGGGACTAGACAGGAGGTGAGCCTTCAAAGGTAACTTTGGACTTTCTGATTCTGGTAGCACCACACACTGAGATGAAGTAAGAGGGTGGAGAGAAGATTTAAGGATCGAAAAAAATGAGTTCAGTCTGAGCTACATGGGACGTTGAAGGCCTTGGCAGACCCAAGGGAAGATGGTCAGAGGCAGCTGGAGAGATGTGAACTCAGAGCATAGGGGAGGGCTGGAGGTGCCGGCCCAGGACGGCTGAGCACCAGGGTGGCGCCCCTGGAGGAGGAGTGACCACAACTAAACTGGAGAGGTGGGGCTGTGCATAAGCAGGTGACTGAAGAAGGGCGGATGCTGGGGGCAGGTGCTGGAGAGGGAGGACAGGTGGGAAGCAGCCAAGGAAGGGCCCTAGGCAGAGAATGCCCAGCAGATTCAAAGGCAGCCAACAGGTACATGGAGGCCTGAGGAGAGGCTCTGGGTGGTGCCTCGGTCTCCTCATCTGCAAAGATGTCCGAGACGGCCTCTCTAGTTCCTTCCCGCCCTCACAACGGCTGAGTGCTGTCCCCGAGTCCCGGCACGCTCAGACACCAGGGTGGGCAGTCCACGGAGGGCAGCCTGGGCACAGCCCTGCCTGGGCGGGAGGCAGCTCAGGGGCTCTCGGGCAGTTACGCTCCACAGCGTCCAAGGCCTCGCAGCCGCCTTCTCAGGACCCCCATGGACCCCCACCAGGATTCTCTCATTCCATTCACACAACAGCCCTGTATATGATTAACCCCATCTCAGAGGTGGGAAAACTGAGACTTGCCAAGGCCATTAACTTTCCCTATGTCACACAGTTAGCAAGGGGTGGGACCATGAGTTTAGTTCAGACTGAAGAAATCAAATTCAGGGTTGAATGATTAAGGGGTTTTTCTTACTCCCATGTGAGCACTACCTGGTCATCTGTCTAACCCTGTGTCCATGTCCAAATAAGAATGTTCTCTGCTTTTTTATTCATTAAAGTTCTCAGTATTCATCTAATAGCTGCAAGGAGCATGGATTACTATGAGTAGCCCCAGCTTCTAATTTTAATTCTCACTAGAGATTTCCCTGTTCTGGGACTTAAACAAGAATGAAGTCATAGAATACATGGTCTTCTGTGATTGGTTATTTCACCTAGCATAATGTTCTTAAGGTTCATCCACGTTATAGCATTTATCAAAGTGGCATTCCTTTTTTCTGGCCAAATAATACTCCGTTGTCTGGACATACCACAGTTTATCAATCTGTCGAGCGGTGAACTTTTGGGTGGTTTCCACCTTTTTGAGATAATGGGAACAATGCTGCTATGAGCATTCATGCAGGAGATGAGTGTGGACATTTGTTTTCATTTCTCCAGGAATAAACTAAGAAACAGGCCATGTTTGTTCCTCATTCCACCATAATGCCTGTATGCGCTGTATGTCATGCACTGGCACCTTAGGGACATTAATGTAAATAAATAAGGGAAAAGAATACCGTTTTCAGCACAAGACATTAAAGCAAAAGGGTCCATTTGGCTCCACGGAGGATCTGCTCACCTCTGAGCTGGAGATCCGGATTCTGGACTTGAGTCAGATCAGCCTGCTTCCTGTTTCGCATTCACTGCAGCTTTGCTTCTTTCTCCGCACTTTAGGAACGGACGAGGCGGCCATCATTGAAATCTTATCAACCAGGACATCGGAGCAGAGGCAACAGATAAAGCAGAAGTACAAGACCGCGTACGGCAAGGTGATCCCAGGGGCCCGGGCAAGCGTTGCACCCGTCTTGCCTTGACCTTGACCTTCTCTGCCCTCTGTGTTCTCCCCAGGCAGCAGACAGTGACTTTAAAGCTCCAGTGAGTTAGCCCAGGAGAAAAACTGAAATCATCACCAAGAACTTTTAATTGGCTCCAGAAAAACTGAAATTGCTTTGTTAATAGCTTATAAAGTCAATACCCTTTAACTCATTACTTTTTAAATTGACTTCACTTTTCTGTTAAGCCTTTAGTCATTTTTCCCCATTCAATTCCACATAATAACTTACAGATAGCAAGTGATTGGAAAATCAGTCCCACAGGTGTATTAAAAAAATCATACAGGATTTTTCATTTATTCAGCTCTCTTCAAGAATGACATGTTGTTCATAAGTGACTGTTAAAGAAGATTTTTTTAAAAAAAAATTCCATTTCCTTAAGCATCAACACCTTTTTTCCCTTACATTTCTTTCCTTACTTTTTTTTTTGGTATTGTTGATGATGCTGTTATGTACACAAGTATTCAAGTTTACATTAAGCCTTCTTGTTTCTTTATTAATATACAATGAACAAAATTTAACCTTTTAAAATGTCATTAGCATTACCATTATGCAAAGTGACTGTCAATCATGCTGGGTTCAATCCATATTCATAAAAACCTTTATGCTTATAATCACTATACCAAAAAGCAGACGCACAGAAGGTCGTGGGTTTTCCTACTTGATGTTGAGCCTTGGCTTTCTCACATAAAGAATGGAGAAGGTAACTTCCTCCCTTCCCAGGTTGCTGGGAGACTCAGCCAGGATCATGTCAGTACATGCTGAAGAGGGAAAGCTGGGATATGGGTGACTGTCTCCATTTTACAAATAGGAATGGTAGCCAGCACCGCAGCTCACTAGGCTAATCCTCCGCCTTGCGGCGCCGGCACACAGGGTTCTAGTCCTGGTCGGGGCGCTGGATTCTGTCCCGGTTGCCCCTCTTCCAGGCCAGCTCTCTGCTGTGGCCAGAGAGTGCAGTGGAGGATGGCCCAAGTGCTTGGGCCCTGCACCCCATGGGAGACCAGGAGAAGCACCTGGCTCCTGCCATCGGATCAGCACAGTGCGCTGGCCGCAGCGCACGGGCCGCGGTGGCCACTGGAGGGTGAACCAACAGCAAAGGAAGACCTTTCTCTCTGTCTCTCTCTCTCACTGTCCACTCTGCCTGTCAAAAAAAAATAGGAATGGTAAATCTCATATATGTACATGAAGTATATAAAATCACACATCTAGAGTGAAAAAAAAAAGACCCAGGACTCACATCCAAGCCCTGTGACTTCCAGGACAATGCCTATTCCTGGAGGACCCACTGCCATGGGTGGAGCTACTTACTTACATGAGGGTACTTCAAAAAATTCATGGAAGTTTGAATTTAAAGGCTAAGTTGATTTTGGTGCAAAAATTTTCTGAAAATCTGTGTATAGTTTTTCCATAACATGGATTTTTTTTATTGTGAAAAAAAGTTTTGCACCAAAATCAACTCATATTTTTTATTTCGTTTCCCCCCACACAAGCATTTTGAAGTATTTTTGTATGCTGCATAGCCCAAGTAGTTGTGCTTTCATAGTTTTTCTGCTTATCTCCTCATGATCAGTTTTGTCAATATCATTTTTTTTTGACAGGTAGAGTTAGACAGTGAGAGAGACAGAGAGAAAGGTCTTCCTTTGCCATTGGTTCACCCCCCAGATGGCCACTATGGCCGGCGCATCGTGCTGATCCGAAGCCAGGAGCCAGGTGCTTCCTCCTGGTCTCCCAGGCGGTTATAGGGCCCAAGGACCTGGGCCATCCTCCACTGCACTCCCGAGCCACAGCAGAGAGCTGGCCTGGAAGAGGAGCAACCGGGACAGAACTGGCGCCCCAACCAGGACTAGAACCTGGAGTGTCAGCGCCGCAGGTGGAGGATTAGCCAAGTGAGCCACAGCGCCAGCCGTCAATATCATTTTTGATAAAAATAAATAAATCTGCAATTCAAATGCCTTTAATTGAGTTGAATGAAGTTGAATTTTCATACTTTTCAACACATCTAAATCCAGGGGCTTCCCAAGTTCTATGTCTTCTTCCACACTACCAACGTGGAAAGTCAGATACAAGGCTTCTTAAGCTGTAGTCTTCAAGACAAGACTGGGGAACGACCTGGCGGTTAGGATGCCTGCAGCTGACACTGAAGTACATGGGCTCGACACCTGGCTCCGGCTCCTCACTCCGGCTTCCTGCTAATGGGCACCCCCGGGAGCAGCAGTAATGGCTCAAACAGTTGAGTCCCTGCCACCCCTGAGGGAGACCTGGATTGAATTCCAGGCTCAGATCTTCAGCCAGACCCAGTCAGGGTCATTACAGGCATTTGGGGAATGACCTAGCAGACTGGGACACGCAAGTGCTCTCCCTCCCTCCCTCTCCTTCCCTTGCTGTTGAATAATAAGAGTGAATGGGTTCAAAGTGAGGGTCTTGGGGCTCCGCTAAAAACAAAACATGATTCCTTCATCTGCCAATCACTTAAATACTTTCCAGTTCTCAGCTGTGATTCTGAGAGCCAAGGCTTCGAAACAGATGACCTTGAACCCCAATGCCACAAACCTAGAAGGTGTCAGGGACCATCAAATCCAAGTCCTCATGTCACTTGAGCTCCAAAGAGAACAGCCATCCCAAAGTAACACCACTTAGCGGGAAACCGGAACTAGCCCTGAGGGATCCCAAGTCTGCTCCTCTGTCCAAACAGAACGTCAGCGCTCAAGGATTTGTTTTCATGCTTGTGGCTTGTAAGAGTAGGCAGCTGGGATTTCTACCCTCTGAAGCTCCATATAGTTCCCATCTGACCTGAAAAAGTATTTCTAATGCTTGGTTGGAACCACGCCATGGAGCTCTGACCCTAGCACGGCCTGTCTTTACCAGATGCCAAGTCACGTGGAACAGGACGAAGCCATAACATCACAATCCCTTTTAAGACCACAGACCCCAGGGCCAGGAACAAACATCTCCTGGATTTTTTCCCCAAGCCTAGATCTCAGAGGTTCATCTGATACAGAGTTGTTTTGCTATCTGGTCCATGGTCTCTGGTCTGACCCAGCCCGGGCCATTGCTCGTAGGTCCTTCATTTAGGCTGGGGTTTTGATGCCTCTTAGTAGACTGGACACCCGTTCTGGACCTGAAACCATCTCATCAAGTGGGAGAAGGCAGGCAGCACACCTGTGATGCTCAAAGTAAAGATGGCGGCAGATGCATGCCCAAAACAAGGGGCCGGGGAGAATTTCCTGAACTTCTCTGTCCATCCACCTGACTTCTTTCTCATGTGTCCCTTTCAGGATTTCGCAAGATAACTGAAGTCATGCAGTTTGCCTGTGTATTCCTATTCAGCCCCTGTCATTGTTATTAGCAGTAACGGCCTGTGTCTCCATCCTTTCTAGCTGAATCTCGGGGCAAACCCACCACTTTCTGTGGTTCAGTGAATGGTGACAGTGCCCACCCCTCTCCTGCTGGCTGCATAGCTGTCTCAAGGGTCAGTGGAGAATGCTCTCTGCAAGTGAGGCTGGGAGCACAATGTATCTGGCGCAGATCAGGGTGTCTCCTCTTCCTGCCTCTCTGCCAGCCTAAGGCGAGATGGCCGAGCCATCATGGTGACCGCCGTCCTTAGGACCAGGCCATGCGTGCGTGGATCACTCCCCACCCTGAGCCCAGGCAGTAGTGCAGGTGGACACCCGGCCCCATCTGTCTTCCTACAGGACCTGGAGGAGGTGCTCAAGGGGGAACTGAGCGGAAACTTCGAGAAGGCAGCCCTGGCCCTCCTGGACCGCCCCAGCGAGTACGCTGCCCGGCTACTGCAGAAGGCCATGAAGGGCCTGGGCACTGATGAGGCCCTGCTCATCGAGATCCTGTGCACAACCACCAATAAGGTCAGTCCAGCCCCCGAGGGGCGTCTACACCTCCATCACAGATGGCTGCTGCCCCTCGATGGGTAATGCCTCCCCTGCATTCTACCCACGAGGGAGCCACAGTCCGGGCAGATCGGCGCCTGCTTGGCCCGTGCAGGAGGGATGCCTCTTCCAGCCGGTTTTGGTGTTGTTGCCCTTGGCTCGACAGGATAGGTCCTTCCGGAAGAACGGTGTCAACCCAGCTTTTGTTTTCTCAGCTTATGTTTTAGATGCAGTTTTGGTTTTTGACACAGGAGGCCAGAATCGACTCTACCCCTCCCCCAGGCTGGCTTTGCAGGTCTCCTGGCAGGAATAATGTCCATAAGGAAGCCAGGCCCATTTGTGCCACTGCCTCACCCGTGGCTGCCTTCCAGCCTCGAGTAGCAAAAAGAATGTAAGAAGGAAGAGAGGCAAGTGGTGCCCGGGAATCTCCCCACCCCCACCCCGGGGGCTGCCCCCTGCAGGACTCTGGGTCCTTCCATAGCCCCACCCACCACCTTTCCAGGAGCTGAAAAGAGCATGTGGCAAGGTCCCCGTGCCAGGTCCCATTTGTTTGGTCCCAGAAGGATTAAGGAACGAACGTATGGAGACTGAATACCCAGAAGTCATCGAGAGGCCAGCCCCATCCCTTCCACAGCCCTCAGCGCAGGTGAATGGGAAACCCCCGCAGGGAATGTGCCAGAAGAGTCCAGTAGGAAGCAGAAGCAGCCGTTGGAGCGGACGGCAAGGAAAAACTGGAAGAGCGCGCAGATGTCGGGGCCACGCTGGGAGCCTCAGACGCGGGCCTCCTGCTCTCCCCGCTCGGCCAGCCGAGCTCCAGCTGCAAACCGCTCTCCTGAGCGTCCCTGAGCTTCTCTTCTTCCCACAGGACGGTACAAGCCCTCTGTGTCCAAAAGGGGCCTCAGAGGAGGGTCAGTGTGCACCCTGGAGGGTCCCCCCCCAATTCCCGTCCTCATCCACCCATCCCAGGAGCACCAAGCCCCAGCAGTGAGGCGTCCAGTGCCAGGGGTAGTGGCTACCTGTCTTTGTGAAAAAGTTGCTTTTATTATTCTATTTCCTGATCTTATTTGATCACAGTTCCCACCCTCCCCCCAACCCCTACCCTCTTCCAGTCTGGTTTCTTTAAGGTCCTGGCCTCTAGCAAGGAGTAAGGCCTTTCTTCCATTAAAATAGATCCAGGGTAATGAGAAGGAAAAATGGGGAGAGAGCAGGTGTCAGGTTCGGGCAGTTCCTGGTGGTGCATCAGGAGGGGGAGCGAGGGGAGGAACCGGTCAGCAGCCCCCACCGCCACCACTGGGCTGCCCCACTCTCTCCCCATCGAAGCACAGCAGCCAGTGCCTGACCTGTTGCCCCCACTGCCATCTCCTCCCCACCGTCGCCTGCTGACTTTTGTTTCAGCCTGCGGTGGGGAAGCCCCTGCCCCTGGAGCAGGCCTCTTGGCACAGGACATTGAGATAGACAGCAGCTCTGCTCAGGACACACCCTAGAGAGACACACGTACTCCTGCGCTGGGCAACCCGTCCACTGAATGGAGCCTTGTTGGAAGCAGCGAAACACTGGAAACAACCCAAGCATCCATCAACGGGAGCTGGCAAAATAACCCGGGGCTTAATGCAGGCTGGAACATTCCGTAGCCATTTAAAAAGTCTCTAGGCGACTGTCTGCATGCAAGCATGGCTGGCTGTCCGAGGTGTTCATAGTGAGTGCAAAAATAAGTCCCAGGATGATAGGTACGGAGGCCACTAGCTAAACACATGGGCTCATTCGCAGAGCAACTGTATATGTGTTCAGTAACACTGTTACATGAATGCAGACCCAAAGGAAATACATGGGGAGATACACACTGAACTTACAGCCCCCTGCCATGTGGGTAGAGGTTGAGGGGAGGGGGAGGAGACAGGACCAGGGGATGGTAAGGGAAGGTATTAGCTTAGCTGTAATTTTTAAATTTTTAATTGACGTATCAAAATTATGTATCTTTATGGAGCATAGTGGAAGGTTTCTACACATGTATATAGTATGTGATGGTCAAATCTGAATAATGGCTATATCCACCACATCAACCATTTCTGGGGCCGGCATTGTGGTTCAGTGGGTAAAACCCACCGCCTGCAGTTCCGGCATCCCATATGGGTGCTGGTTTGAGGTCTGGCTGCTCCACTTCCAATCCAGCTTCCTGCTAATGCACTTGGGAGAGCAGTGGAGGACGGCCCAAGTGCTTGAGCCCTTTTACCTGCATGGGAGACCTGGATGAAGCTCCTGGCTTCGGCCTGGGCTAGCTCCTGGCTGTTTTAGCCATTTGAGGGAGTGAATCAGCAGATGGAAGACCTCTCTCTCTGTCTGTCTCTGTCTCCCTCTCTCTGTGTAACTCTGCCTTTCATATAAATAAATACATTTTTTTAAGTTAAAAACACAAACATTTAGCATTTCTTTGTGATGAGAACATTCAAAAATCCCCTTTTCTAGCTCTGCTGAGGTCATACATTCTTGTGAACTACAGCCACCCTCTCGTGCAATAGCGCACAATAACTTATTCCTGCACTCAGCAACCTGATTTCTGTCGTCCAGCCTTTCCCCCTGTCCCTGCCTCCATACCTTTCCCTGTCTCCAGTCCCCTTTCTGCTTCTTTGAGATCATGCAGTGTTTGTCTTTCTGTGCCTGGCTTATTTCACTTCACGTAATGCACTCCAGACTCATTCATGTTGCTGCAAACGACAGGATTTCATTCTTATTCATGGCTGAATAGTACTCCACATGGCACATATCCTCCACATTTTCCTCATCCATCCACCTCCTGGCTCCATATCTGGTGAGAAGGCACACTGATGAACTTGCACACAGAGGGTCCCTCCACAGCCCCAGACATTCGCTCTGGACCCTCGTGCTGACCCATAGGAGTGACCATCGCAAGCGGAAGTCACAGGGCATCCTCTGTGTGTCTCAGTCTCTTGTTGATGAACCCTACTTAGAGTGTTGATATTTTACTTTATTTCCTTCCCTAGGAGATCATTGCCATCAAAGAAGCCTACCAAAGGCGTAAGTGACTTTTTGTGCTGGCTTGGAGTGAAGTTTGCTCTTTATAAGATACTCTGAGAAACTAAGTCATCTGCTTTCTTCCTTCCTTTCTCTCTCTCTCAAAAGTATTTGACAGGAGCCTTGAATCGGACGTGAAAGGTGACACAAGTGGAAACCTAGAAAGAATCCTGGTGTCCCTGCTACAGGTAAGAAGAGTAAAGAGGTCTTGCCTACTTTAGGATTTCAAGAAAGGACCTCAGCGACATGGTACCACAATGCAAAAGGCAGTGAACACAAATGTTTCCTTCTGTTCAAAATGTTGGGGGCTCATCAGGCCTGGCTCCACCAGCAGCCCAGTGACAGTGAAATCAGTTGGTGGGGATTTCTCCCACAACAGCAATCTGTCTGGTCACGTGCAGAACGCAGGCCCCCGGGCTCATGAATCCGCTCTGTAAGCAGAACCACCTCATTCTGCCAAGGAGGAAACTTAGGGCTCGAAGGATAGGTAACGTGGCCAGGCTTGCACAGCTGGGAAGACACAGCCCAGGAGCAAGAAGCGGACCTGGTCACCCAAGGTGGGTGACAGCTCTGAGCTTACTCCCAGGACACAGGCTGGTGTCTGCGTAGGAGCCGCAGCAAGGAACCCAGCCAGGAAGGCAGGGAGCGTCAGCCTTCCCTCCGACACAGCCGTCTCCACCAGGCTGACGCGCTTCCTGCTGTATTTCTCCCAGAGGGGACATGCTGAGGGCAGAGAAGAAAGGCTTCCACTGCAGCGGGAAGGGAATGCGTGTTTCCTCCCTCTACATACCAGACTGCCACTTGCCTAGCAATTCGGAACACCACCACTCTGTCATCTCCCAGTGCCTGTGGGTCGAGAGCCTGGGACGGAGGAGCCAAGTCCTTCTGCTCTTGACCGGTCAAAACCAGGGCGCCAGCCAGAGCTGCTGTCTTCTCCGCAGACCAGGGCGAAGTCCTTTGCTTGTGCCTGTGCACCTGGTGTCCCCGTTTTCTTGCGAGCCACCAGAGACCACGCTGGGCTCCGGAGAATGTCCACAGGTCCCGGCCATGTGGCCCCCACAGGCAGTTCACCACCCCGCTGTTCATTTTCTTCCAGGCCGGTAGGAGCTCATCTCTGACTTCTTCCATCTTGCCCCTTTAGGAGCTCACCTGAGTATCTCTCCCTTCCCCAAAGATAATCTCCCTTTTGATAAACTCAGCTGACGAGGGACCCGAATTACTTCCAGGAAAATCCCGATTATCCGCCAACATAAACAATTGTGAGAGAGTGACTTCTCATCATGTGCACTGGTCTCCCCCATACTCCAGGGGCGGGGTTTATGCCAGGGCATGGGTCCCTGGCAGTTGTATGATTCTGCCCATCATGTAGGCTCGCATTAGACTTCCATGTAGGCTCGCATTAGACTTCCAAGTCTCAGGGCTGCAGCACTGGGATGGTGAATGGTGACGTATGAAAGTTTGGAAGGAAGACTACATTCTTCCCAATGGACTCCCTCTAGAGGACATCCTAGGTTGTGTCAACCTGCCCAGAGGTCAATGGGACTTGTGGGTGACGCTGGTTTCCAACGCCCCCAAAAAATCTGTTGCCAAAGAAGCTATGCTGTTTACCAGTTGTGGCCAAGAGATGGCAGCAAAGAGCAGCCCCTGAGCCTCAGCCAGGCTGTCTGGAGGGACGGTGGGTTTTCTTTTGTGTTTTCTGTGGTCGAGAAAGCACGCCAGTCAATGCCATGTGCTGGTTTTCCTAGGCTAATCGTGATGAAGGAGATACCGTGGACAAAGATCTGGCGGGTCAGGATGCCAAAGAGCTGTATGACGTAAGTGCGCCCATGTGCCAGGCTCCCCACATCCTGGGGGTTTTTACTTTTTTAAACATTATTTTTAACAGATTTTTATTTTATTTCATGCAAATAGGAGTTATTGGGAGATGAGTATGATATTTAAGAAATAAAGAGATGCTTAGTTCTTTATAGAGCGCATAGGAAGTGTTGCTCCTGTTTTTATACAGTGGGGATCAACCGCTCAGATCATTGGGAACAAGGGAGGGTATAAATATTAGAAATAAATTTGTAAAGTGCACATGTGGGCTAGAAGCTTCCAGTGCTTCATCAATCCTTTCACTCTTATTTAATGCGTAGTTTATAATTTCCCATAAGTGAGGTCTGGCCCCAGTCCTGGATATCAGTCTTTCCACAAAACCTTCTAAAACATTTTGTATCTGACCCTCAAGGCAGGGGAAGGCCGCTGGGGCACAGATGAACTTGCCTTCAATGAGGTCCTGGCCAGGAGGAACTACAAGCAGCTCCGAGCCACCTTTCAAGCCTATCAGATGGTAAGGAACAATGCATGGGGCCACACACGGGGCCACACGGGGTTCCCTCTGAAATCCTTATTTCCAAGAGAAGCCAAGATCTGGAATACAGAACTGGGAGGCCCTCTGTAACTGGGGTTCTCCACGGAGGACAGTTCATTTTGTCCCTCCAAGGAACGTTCGATAATGTCAGGAAACGCTGGAGGTTGTCACAACCTGGGAGGGAAGCAGCCACACCTCTCACAGCACACAAGACAAGCGCCCACAACAAAGACCCATCCAGCCCCGCAGGCAGGGCAGAGGCTAGGGAGGCAGAAGTGGGTCGTGTTTCTGATCAAAGCTCTGCGTCAAGGGATCCAGGTTCGAATCCTGATTCTACCACTGGCAAGTGACCAAACCTCTCCATCCTCTCATGTGAACCAGGAATCATGGGTCTCGCTGTCACATCCTCAAGACTTATATTAAGAGTTAAATAGAGGTGCCAGCGCCGTGGCTCACTTGGTTAATCCTCCGCCTTGCGGCGCCAGCATCCCATATGGGCACCAGGTTCTAGTCCCAGTTGCTCCTCTTCCAGTCCAGCTCTCTGCTGTGGCCCAGGAAGACAGTGGAGGATGGCCCAAGTGCTTGGGCCCTGCACCCACATGGGAGACCAGGAGGAAGCACCTGGCTCCTGGCTTCGGATCGGCGCAGCGCCAGCCATAGTGGCCATTTGGGGGGTGAACCAACGGAAGGAAGACCTTTCTCTCTGCTTCTCTCTCTCACTATCTAACTCTGTCAAATTAAAAAAAAAAAAAAAAGGAGTTAAATAGGATAAAGGCTCAGAACAGTACCTGATGGTGCTAAGAATATACGCCTCCATTCTTCTTACCCTTCTTCCAATTTGCAGCTGAGCTCATGGGGCCCACCACTCCCGAGAGAGGCCACGTTCCTGGAAAGACACGCATAACTCATCTGAGTAATCTCATAATCGTTATAAGCCAACAAGATGGATTAGCTATTTCAAGGCTCTGAGCAGTGAGCCCTTCCCTGAAAAGCGGTCTGAATTGCAAAAAGCCTTTAGTGGAACACCCGATGTTTTGCCTTCCCATTTTATACTTGTAGCATGCTGTTACCTGTTCAAAGCACATCTACGCCCTTTGTCTCATTTTAGCTGCACACCAGTGCAGGGTCTGTAACAGCGGCTGAACAGCCAGCGCCCGCACAGCTGCTGGCCTAGGAGAGTCCGCTGAGTGGGGAACCATCTGTAACTTCTCAGGACCACACAGCAAGTCGGTAGCACAAAGCGGATGAGAAGCCCAAGAGTCCCCAGCCCGAGCGCCCGCCTCGGCTGGGGCTGGCCACTCCTCACTCGAAATAGCAGTTCTTGTGCGCTGCCAGTAGATACAAAGACAAGGAAGCTTCGGAATTTTATCCTTATTGTATATAAACCCTGAGGGCTCTCAGCTTTCAAATCGTGCCCAGAACCATGATCCAAAGCAGCTGGCGATGCTGTCCCCTGCTCCGTGTGCCTGGGGGCTGTGTGGGCTCTGAGCTGGAGGCCCCCTCCCCTCATCATGGGGGCTGCAGAGTTTCTGGGGCTGGCTGTCCTTGGTAGTCACTGTGAGAATGCACATACGTGTGTGTATCTTCTCCATTGGCTGCTGGGACCCCAACGAGGCCAATATCTCAAAACTGGCCCTGACGCAGCAGCTTCAGTCTCATTCCAGAACTTGTTCAAGTGAGAACGCCCAGTCCCCACAGGGACCTTCTGAGCGAGGTGCCACAGGGTTGGGGTTCTCCCATCTGTAGGTCTTTCTGTCTTCCAGGTGGTTCTGATGCATGTTACGGCTGGAGCAGTCGGCTCTAGGTTACTAGCTGTATGACCCTGGGCGGTTAGTAAGGTTCTGTGCCTAGTCGTCCCTACTTTATAGGATTACAGATCATGAAAATGAATAGAAGTAAGGACTTAGCCAGTACCTGCCTCACAGAAGGCACTCAATAAACATGAGCAATTGTGAAGGGTCTCCCTGTGTGAACCAACAATGGCAAGAATCCGAGTAAAACTCAAGTGAATGATAAAGTCATCTACAGATCCGACGATTCTTCCACAAACCAGCTAGCTCTGAGGTCTAGCTCTTCATCTACTCCAAGGCCTTGCTCAAATGCAGTTCATCTCCATCTTGGTTGCTGATTTTTCCGTCCCAGGTTCTGTAAGTTTGCTGGCGATCTCTGACCAATAACAAAGATGTGATTGTATGCCTAGGGGCACAAGCTGTCTTGCCATCTTTGGCACAGAAACTTGAGGTTTTGACCTTTGTTTGCCCTCTGAGCCCGAGTCTTAACTTCTGACACTGTGGGCTCTCTCAGCCCTAACAAAAGAACTTCCCCAACCAGCTGTATTGTGCAAGATTATGACAGCCCCCAGTGTTACCAGACACACGAGACTTGCACAGTTTCAAGCCAAAGTAAGGGCCTGGCTGAACACAGGTGCACATGCTCCTAGCCGAGCCCTGCTGCCTCTCCCCTGGACATGTTCTTAAGCCCTTGCAGAGCCCTTCGCTTTTCACCTGCTGCCGTCAACACCACAGTGCGCAGGGCTCTGGGGTTGGCACCCTGTCAGCTTGAAGGAATGGATTTTCGAAGGAGGAATGTCTCCTTTATTCTTCTAATGACTTCCCATTGGCATTGCTGCCTGCTTAACTGGAGTCTTAGACTTCATTGGAATCCACCCTCATCTTGTGTTGGTTTTTGTTTTGTTTTTTTTTTTGTACTAAACTCAGAAAACCTGATTCTGTCCCAAGACCTCAAGAACTCAGTGTTCCTGTAGCTGAAGTAAAAAGTGTGCAAAGGAGAGGCGCGATGGCTTGGGCCATTGTTTCCAGACTGTGTTCCCTGGATCCCATGGAGGGCGGCAGGAGCTACCAGGAGAGGGGCAGAATGAGAAGAGGGGATAATACCAACTTGTTGTCTTGTGTGAGTGGCGCCCCCTGGAGTTGTGCAAGAAAGAGGGCAGACACATGGCAGCATTACTACCTAGGGATAGGTGGCATTAAAAGGTCACTTCCTGGCTGGCGCCGCGGCTCACTAGGCTAATCCTCCGCCTTGCGGCGCTGGCACACTGGGTTCTAGTCCCGGTCAGGGCGCCGGATTCTGTCCTGGCTGCTCCTCTTCCAGTCCAGCTCTCTGCTGTGGCCCGGGAAGGCAGTGGAGGATGGCCCAAGTCCTTGGGCCCTGCATCCACATGGGAGACCAGGAGGAAGCACCTGGCTCCTGGCTTTGGATCAGCACAGTGCGCCGGCTGTGGCGGCCATTTGGGGGGTGAGCCAATGGAAGGAAGACTTTTCTCTCTGTCTCTTTCTCTCACTGCCTAACTGTCAAGAAAAAAAAAGAGAGAGAGAGAAAAAAAAAGAGGTCACCTCCTGCTCCCCAGAACGGCTCTGCTTTTACTTGCCTTGTAGTAGTGTGAGGTCCTACAGAAACCTGAAGAGGACTCTCCTAGAGTCCTGGTATTAACAGCAGAAACAGAAAGTCATGTAATGTGAGAGTTTTTTTAAGTACGCGCAGATTCACGTAAACAAAGCATCCGCTTGCAATGTACTCTCGTCTATAGAACAAGAGCCCTGTTCCCGGGGAAGTGACCCCAGCCCCTTCCAAAATACCAGCTCCCACATCAGACCCAACCGAGAAAGGCACAAGATGGACAGCCCCGCTGCTCTTTCTAATCCGATTTCTAACGGCAAATACCCGGGCCTTTAGGTACTCCAGCCTCCAGCAATAACTGGGAGGACGAGCAAAAGAACTCACTAAACACGCGCCCTCTTCCCTGCACGTATATCCTGCTTGCTCTGCGAAGAACACTTTGTTTACCTGTGTTTTCATAAGCGCCATAAACTCCACTGCTGTGTACCCAACGGCCCCAGTATTTATAGAATCAATTGTGTCATAGCCCCAGAAGATCACTTCTAAGAACAAGGTTTCAGTGTTTCTGATGCTTCCCTGCAATTACCCCACCCCACAGACCTCTCCCCTCTCTATTTGCCTGCCCTGAGAATGGCCCGGGCAGTATTTGTGTTAAGGATCAGTCACAATTTACTGTAACGTCAGCTTCTGTAAATATTTGGAGAGAAACCCAATGTGTAATGCTGTGCAGAGCGGTACGTGAACCAGTGGCGAATAGAGGCCCATGTGCCATCACCCAGAGTGTGGGGGGTGCATGGTGAGGCCGGCCCCCGGGGCTCCATGTGCCGTCACCCAGGGTGGGGGGGTGCACGGTGAGGCCAGCCCCCGGGGCTCCACGTGCCGTCACCCAGAGTGTGGGGGGTGCATGGTGAGGCCGGCCCCCAGGGCTCCATGTGCCATCACCCAGGGTGGGGGCCACTGTGAGCCAGTCCCGGGGCTCCCAGCCCCTACAGGCCCCCTCTCTCAGCAACAGTAGCGCAAGTCCTTGTCATGAACATCACAGCCTCTACTTCCAGTACCCGGCCTGTAAGTGACCAGGTCCCCAGGCCCAAGACAAGGGACATGAGGGAAGTGCAGCCAGATTATTGTAACCACAGCCTCCTAGGATACTGCAGAAAAGATGAAAAATACCTTGGAAATTGAAGTCCTACATAAATTAAAAAATTACTATTCTGGCTGGCGCCGCGGCTCACTAGGCTAATCCTCCACCTTGCGGTGCTGGCACACCGGGTTCTAGTCCCGGTTGGGGCGCCGGATTCTGTCCCGGTTGCCCCTCTTCCAGGCCAGCTCTCTGCTGTGGCCAGAGAGTGCAGTGGAGGATGGCCCAAGTGCTTGGGCCCTGCACCCCATGGGAGACCAGGAGAAGCACCTGGCTCCTGCCATCGGATCAGCGCGGTGCGCCAGCTGCAGCGCGCCAGCCGCGGTGGCCATTGGAGGGTGAACCAATGGCAAAGGAAGACCTTTCTCTCTGTCTCTCTCTCTTTCACTGTCCACTCTGCCTGTCAAAAAATAAAAAAAAATTTTTAAAAATTAAAAAAAATTACTATTCTTGTATAAATTAAGGGTTCCTCCATCTGCTGATTTTACAGATGGGGAAACTGAGGCCAAGGGCATGGCACTGCCTGGGGTCAAATCCATTTGAGGTCAAATCTGGGACCACTCCTGGGCAATGGGAGCTCCCTGGAGAATGGGGGCAACTTCACCAGCCCTGCGAGGCCAGAGGAAGGTGAGGGGCTCCTTTCATGTACAGAGGAGCCACCCCGAGGGGGCCAAGGCCAAACACAAACCCTGCAATAATGGCCAGACTTTGGTTCTCTCTGCAGCTCATCGGCAAAGACATAGAAGCAGCCATTGAGGAAGAGACATCAGGAGATCTGAAGAAGGCCTATTTAACTCTCGGTAAAGTGCCGTGGGGGAATCTCCTGTCTTGGGTTGGGCTCCCTGGAACCAGACTGGGTGACAGGGGCTCGGTGTCAGGGGACACATTGGGGAATGCTCTATCCAAGGGATACAGTGAAGGGGATGCAGCTGCATTTGGGGCCACGCAGGTCCCACAGGGAGACCCGAGGCTGGGAGCAAGAGGGTGAGGGCTCTGCACCCCATGTCAATCCGTCCCTGGGTGTTGGCTGTACCCTGGGAGCATTTGCAACCTTGGACAAGCCAGCTGTCTCCTTTGAGGGGCAATTTTCAGAAAGGGGCTTGGCTGTGAGCAGCAGCAGGTAAGCCTTGAACGAGCACCTCGATCCTGCATGTTCCACTTGCTAGAGCCCCCTGAGATCACCTGCAGACATCCCAGGACCATTATGTAGGCCCAGGTAGCAGTGCGGTTCATAGGACACACCCACAAAAGCATCCCCATGTAGGAGCCAAGCGCTTGCGCATGCCCGGTGGCTTCAGGGTTTCCTTTTCCATTCGGTTCCCTTCAACATTTGCAAAGAATGAGGTCTGTTTCCAGAGTGAGGAGGGAGACCAGATGTGGGCCATGCCAAGCATTCGCCAGGACCTCCTCTCCAGGTGTTGCCCAAAGGCAGGAAATAGCAGAGAGATGGGCCCCAGAGCGAGTCTGGCCAGCTCCCCCTGGAAAGAAGGCATTGTCCATTGTCCACGCTCCTGTGGCGAGGAGTCCAGGGCACCATCCCAAATGGCACAGGACATGGAAAGACAGATCCCCAGAAGAAGAGGAAGAACCAAACAAGCAGCTCTGGAAGGCAAAAAATGTGCCGCAGGTGCCAAGCTCTTTTGTTTGGCTCTTTGAGGGGCTCTGGTTTTTTCGAACAATGTCAGCAATTGATCATTTTTTTCATCCTTGTTCATTTTGCATTCAGATTAGCAGGACCTCTGCTCTGATGGATGGAGGAGGCCCAGACACACCCACACTGGCTGTACACGCGAGCCGCAGCTGGACAGCTGTCCCCTAAGGCTCTCTAAGCAGCTGGAGGGCACTACTCATGGCCTGGTTCTGAGGCTCCAAATCCTTGCTGTCTTCACAGAGCTGAGACTGAGGGAAACACCCAGGGGCAGACACAGCCACTCTGGCCCCTGACATTCTCTCGGCACCTGCTCGGTCCCGGGAGGGTGTGGTAGGTGTGAGGACCAGGGATAACTAAGAACCCATCCTCACTCTTACAGAGCTTAGTATCCACGGTGCATATGCACACATCAACAGATCAGGCTACAGGCAAAATAAAAAGCCAAGCAAACAAAGAGAGCGAGGAGTTTACAGAGGAAGGCAAAGCCGAGTCCCTGGGGGTGGGGCCGGGAACTGCAGGAGCTGAGTGGACTTGCAGGCAGCAGAAGTGGAAGTGACCAGAAAAGGCCTTGAGAATACGCGCACGGAAAATGCAAGCTGACTTCACTGCTGTGTTTTCTAGACTCTTCCCACCCTGTTCCCACTTGACCCCTAAAGATGTCAGTTTATGGTGACAAGTCTGGGGGGCGGGGCTTACATCAAATGACTCCCACTGCCTGCAGCCTCTGGGGTAGCCCTCTCAAATGGGGTCCCGGGCCACCCACATCCATCTCACCTGAGACAGTGCAGTTCCCCAGGCCCCACACCAGGAAAGGAGCCCACACTTCCCCAGCAATTGCCTTCCAGAGGCCAGGAGCAGGGAGAACCCCAGCACAGGGGCCCCAGCGGCCGGCTGCCCTTCCTCCCCTCTCCAGGAGCAGCTTTACGGTATAGCTCCCGGGCTCTCCTCGCCCAAGCTTTGGAGAGATAGCAGCTGCTGCCAACAACAGGGGGTGTCCCCCAGGCATAGATTTGTAGACAGAGGAAGAAGTTTTGGGTGTTCTTCCCCAACTATCCGGAAGAAGGGACATCTAGGGAGAGGTTGTCTGGAGGTGGGGCACACACACACCAGGCAGACAATGCTTGCAGCATCCCTCAGTGCAGCACGGGAGAGGACCTCCAGGAAAACCGCGTGGAGGCCACTGGATCAGATCACCTGGGGACCACAGTGAGTCCCAAATATGCCACCTGCTCCCCACAGTGACGTGACATCCATGTTCGCCTCTACATAACCTCCAATCCAGCACCTTTGGTTACAGAGGCCAGAACCTAGGCCTGAGCTTTCCTTTGCCCCTGCACCTCCAGTGGTTGCCACGTGGCCTACCCTGGACTCTGCCTCCCTGACCCTGGCTCACCCCTGTCCCTCCCACAAGGAGCCAGCAGAGGCCATGACACAGCTGCACCTTCCATGCACTCACTGCTCATCACTAGTGTCAAACAACCTGAAGCCAGTCTAGAGAAGTGTTACAACCTGCAGTGTAAATGGCTCATTCCCCCTAAGTGGTACTGGTGATGGACCCAGAAGAGCGAGGAGGAGAGGACAGAGCTGATGGATCTGTACAATTTTTTTATAACATACAATCCTTATACATTTCCATGAGGTATTGTGCAACACTTTAACACATGTATGAGGTGTAAATGGATCAACTTAGGCAATTAGCATTTCTATTTCTTTATCTTTTTTTCACATTTGGAGCTACTCAGTTACTCTCTTACAATTTTTTTTGGAAAGTTAGAGAGACAGAAACAGAGAGAGATCTCCCATATGCTGGTTCACTCCCCCAAATCAGCTGGGTCAGGCTGAAGCCAGGAGCTGAGAACTCAATTCAGGTTTCCCATCTGAGTGGCAGCAACTTGACCCTCTGAGCTGTCACCTGCTGCCTGTGCATTAGAGGAAGCTGGAATCAGAAGTAGAGCCAGGACTCCAAACCAGGCACTCCGATTTGGGATATAGGTGTCCCACGCGGGGCTTAGCCGCTTTACCAAATGTCCGCCCCCCAGTTCTTTATACAGAAATAATGCATTATTGTGATCTATCGTTGCCCCACTGTGCTGTGGATCACAAGATCCTATTCTACGAGATTGTGATTTTATACCCATTATCCAACTCCCACAGACCCTCTCTGCCCCAGTAATCGCTATTCTAAGTTCAGATCTACTTTCTTTGACTTTCACATAGGAGAGAGGCCATGTGGTCTCTGTCTTATCCCTAGGAAGGGAGCTGTGTGCACCCCAACACCAGCTGACAGAGAGAAACCACACTTTGTTAATCCTTGGAGAGATCAGAGCAGTGGGCAAGGAGAGATCCAGTGGTGGCATCTTGGGATGGAGAGCTTTGGAAAGGATCAGGCAGCACATCCAGGCCACGCCCCAGACCACTCGCTAAGGAGATTATGGGGAACCCGCCAGGAAAAGACCCGGAGAGGAGACTCACGCAGCAGACCCAGTGAGGACAAGCGAAGCGAGCTTGCTTTGCATGCAGAAGCAGAGAGTCTGGCTAAGTCAGTCCTTGAGATAACGTCGCTTTGTGATGGAAAGCGGCGGCCAGCCCGTGTTTCCCCTCAGAAGCCAACCCCAGCACCAGAGAGCTCACTTAGATATTGAGTCCCTTGTGCAGATCATGAACGGGGTAGGGAGAGCCTGGAGAGGGGAGGGCCACGGCTCTCCTCATCCCTTCAGGGAACAAGAGAGGCTCTTACTCCTCTCAAGCAATCTGGCCCCAGCGCTGGTGGGAGAGCCCAGATGCCCTGACCTGGGAACCTCCCAGACCTCACTCCACAGCAGCATGAAGCCAGCCCCTTTCACACCTCATCTCCGCACGAGGCAGTCAGCTCCAAGGGCAGCCTTGGCAGAGACAGCCCACACGGCGCCAGCCTTCCGAGGGTCCCAAACCTCACTCTCTCTCCTCCCTTGTCCCGCCCAGTGAAGTGCGCCCAGGACCGCGAGGGCTACTTTGCCGAGCGTCTCTACAAGTCCATGAAGGGAGCAGGGACCGACGAGGAGACGCTGATCGGCATCATTGTGACCAGGGCTGAGGTAAGACTCCCTCCATTCCAAAGACACAGCTGGGGCCTCCCCTTTCCCACCACCGATGTCATAGTCTTTTTTTCCAAGGTTTACTTTCTCAAGGTGTACTTATTTACTTCCTCAAAAGACAGAGTTAGAGAAAAAAGGAGACAGACAGAGAGATCTTCCACCTATCAGTTCACTCCCTAAATGGCCACAAGGGCCAGGGCTGGGCCAGGCCAAAGCCAGAAGCCAGGAATGCCATCCGGGTGGCCAGAGCCCAGAAACAGGCCATCTTTGGCTGATTTCCCAGGTGTATGAGCAGGGAGCTGGATCAGAAGTGGGGTAGCCAGCACTTGATCTGGCACCCATATAGAATGCCGGTATCGTAGGCAGCAGCCCAGACCACTGCATCACAACATGAGCCCCAACAGATAGTTTACTTGCCTATTTACAGCAAGTGTAAAACAGAGATGGCACTGGCTGTCCCAGAATTTATAGAAGACACGGTGATCTGCTGCAATCTATATAAAAATGCAGTAATGAAACTTGCTTCTACTACTGTCGTTGGTGGCTCTGGAGAGCTGGTGGCAGTGGGCAGAGGGACCCAGCAGGGAGTCGCTCTAAAGCAGGGCAGCTTCACATGGCTTTAGTTCAGGGGAGACCAACAGAGACACAGACACATCTCCCAGCGCAGAGAGCACAGAAAATGCCTTCCTAGCTCCTGAGCCAGGTCTCTGATTGGACGCACGGCACAAGCACCGATTTTGTGCAAGAAAACATATTGGCCTAAGGCAAGGTTTCTCAGCCTAAATGATTTCCCCCTAAGGAGCTTTTTCTTAATAAATCATTTATTTTATTTATTTGAGAGCAAGCGAGTGCATTCCCATCTGCTAGTTTACTCGTAATGCCTACAACAGCCAGGGCTGAAGCCAAGAGCCAGGAATTCAATCCAAGTCTCCCACGTGGGTGGCAGGCACCCAAATGGGCCATCACGTGCTGCCTCCCAGGGTGTGTATCAGCAGGCAGCCAGAATCGGGAGCAGAGCTGGAACCAGCCCAGGCAATCTGATAGGGGATGCACGTGTCCAAGTGGGGTGTTCGCCACTGCAACAAATTCCCAGTCCCCCGAGGAACCTTCCTGGGCACATTTTTTCCCCTAATTTCCACCTCCTCAAGAAATGCTGATGATGCAGATACTACTGTGTATCTGTTGGATACCAAGGGATCATCAGTGCTTCCTTTGAGTGCACATGAGAAAGTTCACGGAAATGGGCTGGTGCTGTGGAGGAGCGGGTAAAGCCACCAGTGACGATGCTGGCATCCCATATGGGTGCTGGTTCGAGTCCCAGCTGCTCCACTTCTAGTTCAGCTCCCTGCTAATGCACCTGGGAAAGCAGTAGAAGATGGCCCAAGTGCTTGGACCCCTGCTACCCACATGGGAGATCTGGAAGAAGCTCCTGCTCCGGGCTTTTGTCTGGCCCAGCCCTAGCAGTTGTGGCCATTTGGGGAGTAAACCAGCTGATGGAAGATTTCTAACTCAAACTTTGAAATAAATAAAATAAATCTTTTTTAAAAAGTTTATGGAAAATGGAGTGAAAAGATAAACTCATTTTGGTATAAAATATTTTGAAATATATACAAGGGATCTTCAAAAAGTTTATGGAAAATATGTATGATAAAAACCCTATGCATGAAGTTCAAGATTGTTTTCACACCAAAATAAACTTACAATTTAATTCTAGTTTCTCTGTGAGCTTTTGGAAGTCCCCTTATACGTACAAGGATTGCAGGCATTGTTCAGCCCCTAGGAGGCAGTGTTTGCCCCATCTCAGCGGACAATGCATGATGTGTCTGAGAAAGGGAGGAGGCTGAGTAGCCAAGAGCTTGGGAGTAGCTGTCAAGACTCGAGGCTCATGCTTTGGGACCAGGAGCCACAGCTCCTGGGACAGGAAATGAAGGGGCAATGGCACTGTCTCCACGTGAGAGAACGAAGTGAAACCAAGTCCCGGGAACCCACAGCCATCTTCCTTTTGGGGGGGAGGGGACATGGTAGATGAAGGGAGAGACACCACCCCAAATTCTGCTCCTGAAGTTTGAACAAGCAATACTCAGCATCTCACAACAGGATGGGTCTTTCCTTTCTATTTCTAGTGCTGGAATTCCTCCTCTCCCTCCTTTTTCTCCTCCTGCAGGATGCACCTTTCTCTCTTCACGTCTGTCTCCCCCACCCCTCGGTGGTCTCTCTATACTCCTTCCCACACTCTCCCTCCTCCGGCACTCTCTCTCTTCCACAGGTGTCTGTGTCCCCCACCTCTGTCTCTCAGCACACCCCCCCATAGTCAATCACTGAGGAGTCTCAGGGGACCCAAAAGGGACAGGTGCACAATGGAGCAAACCTAAGGCTCTGAAGGAACTCCAGGGAGGTCAGATCCTTCTAGGGACCTCACAGGAGTCCATGTTCTCTCTGGTGCAGACCCCAGAACGTTTGACCCTGAGATGCTCTGTCCCAGCCCAGTCCTGACCCCCTCCCAGGTCAGCTCCTTCAAACAGCTCTAGACCCAGCCAGATGCAGTTTAACTGAACTCCCTAGTTTTCCAAAGCCACATGGGACCAGACTATCCCCCAGGTACCCCTCCTTCCTGCCCTGCCCCCTACCTGGGCAAGGATCCAAGTAGGGGAACAGAGGAATTTCTAAGCCATGGTTGGCAGAGGACACCCACCACCTGCTTCCTGTATCTTTCTACTCAGCATCCACTTCAAACGATCACCCACACCCCCCCTTCCCCATTCCCATCTTGTTTCTCTCCATCACTTCAGTCCTCTAATTGGGCTGCAGAAGAAAGAACCAGATACCTGAGCCACATTCTCTAGGTCTGGAGTGCAAGGAAGAGTCTAAACCAGAAATGAATTTAAAAAGAACAGACTCTTGGTGCCTGCCATTGATGGTGGCCACGCTGTAAACATTGCTGTGCCTGTCATCTTGCTCACATGGGGCCCTTCAGGGCGTAAGAGCAAAATTCCACAAGAAGTATCAGGGAAGACAAGAGAGTCCCTTGCTGCTTTTATGAGTCCCTGTGATCCATCTGGAGTTAAACCTTCCCTGGTGCAAGGATCTTCTCTTCCCAGATTGTAACAGTCTGCATGCAGAGCAATCATTCGTATGTTCCTGAGTCCCAAGTCCACCCCCAATATCTGGGTCTTTCAAGGTTTCAATGAAATGGATTCAAAATACGTCCTACAAAAGATACTAGTTTGGATTTTCTTGACTGGTACTAATGTCCTTGCTGATTGGGATACCAGGAAAAATAATGCCTACTTGCCTATTTCTATGTTGACAATTGTCTTATCCTTACATTGGGGGTCATCAGACCATCGCCAGCACACTAAATTGGGCCCGCTGCCTGCTTTGGTGTAATCTTGCTACCTAAGAACAACTCCTTTTCACACAACTGGAGAAAACGGATACTTTGCAACACATCAAATCCGATGACATTCAAACTTTAGTCGCCATAAACACATTTTTGAATGGAACGTACACACATAGGGACCCCTCTGCAGACTTCGGGGAACTGAGCGCACTTGTCCGTTTCTCATCCATGACATGGCAATGGCAGCCCTTGAAGAGATATTTAAGACATAAATAAGCCAGTGCCGCGGCTCACTAGGCTAATCCTCCGCCTGCGGCACCAGCACACCGGGTTCTAGTCCCGGTCGGGGCGCCGGTTCTGTCCCGGTTGCTCCTCTTCCAGTCCAGCTCTCTGCTGTGGCCCGGGAGTGCAGTGGAGGATGGCCCAAGTGCTTGGGCCCTGCACCCGCATGGGAGACCAGGAGGAAGCACCTGGCTCCTGGCTTCAGATCAGCGCAGCGCGCTGGCCGTAGCAGCCATTTGGGGAGTGAACCAATGGAAGGAAGACTTTCTCTCTGTCTCTCTCTCTAACTCTGCCTGTCCAAAAAAAAAGAGACATAAACGAGCAGCTGAGTCTAACACACTTGGAACAGTGCTTGCCGTTGTTGGTGTTTACAGTGTGAACGTTGCTGTGCCCGTTGTCTTTCCACAGGTGGACCTTCCAGGGATAAAAGCAAAATTTCAAGAGAAGTACCAGAAGTCTCTCTCTGACATGGTTCGCTCAGACACTTCCGGGGACTTCCGGAAACTTCTAGTGGCCCTCTTGCAGTGAGCCAAGCCAAGCCAACAGCAACACAGAGAGAAGCCGCCTCTGTCAAGAGCATGTTCCAAACACAAAACCCCCTCAAGAGCCCAGGTTTATTTTCTTGGAAGCTTACGCAGGGCAGCCAGACCATGCTCAATGACTCAAGGCGCTCGGGTGGGTCACCTTGAACGCTGGCTTAGCAAGTATCTGGGCTGCCTCTTAAGGTTTCTTTAGCGTGGTGACTGAATGCTTTCCACACACAAATGGAATCAGCAGTCGATGAAAAAGCTATGGTTTTAATGAAATGCTTAGGAGAGTACAGACTGCACAGGGGTGTGTGGGGGCCAGGTAAAGACAGAATGGTGAAGGAACAGGGGAGACAATTTGACCGATTTGCTAATTTTCCTTCTGTGTGTTCTATGCCAAAGCCTCAGCGTTCATTAAAAGTTGTCGATTATGCCTCCAATGTGCTGCTTTTCCAAAGCTGGCCTGCTTAGTGTGGGCTCTTGGCCTGGAGACACAGGACCTGTGAAATCAAACCTTTCTGGGGAGTGTAAACAGTGGCGTTTATTTGGGATCATGGAGGACAGTAATCAAGGCTGGCAGCAGGGAGATAGTAGACTGGTCTGCGTGAATGTGACGAGCGTGAGACTCACTAATCTATTACCTGATTTATTTGGGTTTTCTCCTCTAAGCATTTGGCCCACTTGAGTGCTTCATTTGACCTTCAAATACAACCAGGCTGAGCAAGGTGCTAAAAAACAAAATCAAGGTCAATGGGCCGCCTCTTTGGTAGGTTGGTTTGGCTGCAATAGAATCTCTGTCCCAAGATGCTGGCCTTGTAGCCGCACAGAGCTACACATGAAGGGCTCCCTCCAGGGAACCTAGACACCTGGGTCTCGGATGACCATTGGCACTTCCCAGTGACAATTTCATAGCTGATGCTCCCACAGCTCTATGAGGTTGATATTTGTCACTTGAGGAAACCATGACATTAGTAATCTGGTTAAATTCATCTGCAAGTGCTAGAATCAGGACTTGAGTCCAAGACACTCCAGGAATCATGCTACTAACCACCTCTCCTTAAAAAAACATAACTTGAATTACACAGGAATGGGCCTATATTCATTCATCTAATTCGCTACCATTGGCTCACCACTGTGCTAGGCTCCAGGGATATAAAGGTAAATAGAAGATTGACAACCCTTTGGGCAACTTATTCCCAGGCCAGCAACACAGACAGAGGTGTCCAATATGCAACAGAATGTTGTATGTGCATTACCAAGGGCAGGTAAAGGCCTCTATCCAAGAGTAAGAAGAGGGAACACACAGATGCGTTTGTGCTGGATTCTAAAGAGTGTAGAGCAGCCTGCCAGAGAAACACAGGAAGAGGGCACAGGCGGAGGCTGGGACGTGTGAGTAGGCAGGATGTTCAGGAAGAGGTGGCATCCATTCTCCTGGGACACAGCACAGAGACAGAGAGGAGCAGGCTGGCGAGGCAGGCAACGAGGCTGCTAAAACACACTTGGATACCATCATTCAATGCATTGCTTGTCATGGAGGAGTTTGGTCCTTTGGACAATGGCATGATTGGAGGTGTTTAATTGGTTGGGGACTAGGATCATTCTTGGACCTTGGGAAATAACTCAGGTGATAGGACCAAACAAGTAGCAAATAGCTCAAACATTCAGTCTGAGGACAGATGCCATAGTGTGTCTTTTCAGGGGGTACAAAACCATGAATCAACAAATTAAGAAACTATGGTGGTGCTGGCTCTGTGTCATAATAGGTTAAACACCTGCAGCACCAGCATCCCATATGGACGCCGGTTCAAGTCCCAGATGCTCCACTTCCGATCAGGCTCCCTGCTTTTGCCTGGGAAAGTGGTGGAGTAGGGCCCATGTGCTTGGGTTCCTGCAACCCATGTGGGAGTCCTAGAAGAAGCTCCTGGCTCCTGGCCTCGGATTGGCCCAATTCCAGCCATTGCAAGATTTGAAGAGTGAACCAGTGGATTGCAGCTTGCTCGTTCGTGCTCTCTCTCCCACCCTCCCTCTTTCTCTCTCTCTCTCTTCCCCTCTTTCTCCATATCTTTGTCTTTCAAATAAATATTTTTTTAAAAAAAGACATTACGGTAACATTTGATGTCTTCACTATACTGGTTTATTTACCTGTCAGAGTTAGCATTGTGAACCTTAACACATAAAAAATTATTTTCTAGAGCCATGGTCAGTGACAAAACATACTGGTATTTTCTTATCTGGTGCTGAAGCTGGTCTCTGCTTTCATAAAAAGAAACAAAACAACCAGTTCTTGGGATCTGAGCTCATGGCAAGGAGAGCAGAGAGATCTATTAAAAACAGACATGATTTGTTGGTGACCATGATTCATGCAGAGAAAATAAGGAAGGTGATTCCCGGGGGAGAAAGCGGGCTGAGACCGAGAAGCAAGGTCACTTGTTCAAGGCCATATGGGAGAAGGGACCTAGGATTCAACCTCAAGTTGCTCTGACCCCCAAGCCCGTCACCGTTGCCACACTAGCTCATGAGTCACGAGTGCATTGGTTCAAAGTTGGCTGGGGAAGCCTCGTGCTGCCTCTCTGTGGCCACTGACTGCTGCTCATCACCCACAGGCTGGAGCCACGGCCGACATGCTCAATTCGAGACGCTCCCTCACAAGACAGCTCGGGGTTGGTCCGTCCCAGCAATGGTCCCCACTACCCCTGCCCCCACAGCCAGCTGGGAAACTCCCCCCTTTCCCCTTCACATACACGGTGCCCTGCTGGCCCCTTTCCCCTCTGCCCAAGCCCTTGGCCTCAGAGGGCAGGCCTGCCTGCGGCGAGAGGAGGAGGACAGAAGGAAGAGGGAGACAAGAGCAACACTGCTTCGTCACCTGCTGCTGCACAGCCCTGTCCCCATGCTACCCACTTCCTCCAGGGCCCCAGGGGGAACGCCAGCTTCCGCCACCCGAGTGTCTACACAGAGGGGAGCAGGCCCTGTCGGAGCCTTTGCTGACTCAACACGCTTCCTCGTGAAAGCCGTCCCAGGCCCCCATGGGACTCCACACTGCTGCTCCCCCCCATAGTGAGCTTCCTGGGGGTGCTGTGGGTAAGCAGACTTTGGGGAGCCGGCCTGAGAAAACCATCGTGAAAGCTGAGGAGTCGAGAGCATCCCATGACCCACTGCAGGAGCTCCCGCTCTCAGATTTCTCCCCATCGCCCTGGGACCCCTAATATCTGTGGGTACCAGCCCAGCTTTACTGTCTGGTCTATCCGGAACCAGGGGGGGGCGCCTGTGAGCTAACACTGCTCAGACAGCCGAGTTCACGCTACGACCCTGCTGCGGATCCTGGGGCGAGGCCCCGCTCCTGCTCTGGAGCCAGCTCAGGACCCTCGGAAAGGAAATCCGGGGTCCCAGGTGCCTACAGCAAGGGCTTCAAAAGGCAGTCCAGGCTGTGTGTGGGTTTGTCTCTGTGAGCCCAGAAACTGCCCACCCACAGGGAGGAGCGCAACCGGAGAGGGCCCAGTGCAGGGACGTCAGAGGCCTGTGTGTGAGGTCTCCGCTCCCCTGAGCACTTTGGGGTGGCATCAGCCACTTTTCTTCTTGCTCTCTCTGGGAACTAATTCCCCAAGTTCTTCCTCCTTTTTTATAGTTTTTTTTTAATTTATTTATTTGACAGGTAGAGATATAGACAGTGAGAGAGAGAGACAGAGAGAAAGTCTTCCTTCCATTGGTTCACTCCCCAAATGGCCACAATGGCTGGTGCTGCACTGATCCAAAGCCAGGAGCCAGGTGCTTCTTCCTGGTCTCCCATGCGGGTGCAGGGCCCAAGCACTTGGGCCATCCTCCACTGCCCTCCTGGGCCACAGCAGAGAACTGGACCAGAAGAGGAGCAACCGGGACTAGAACCCGGCGCCCATATGGGAAGCCGGCACCGCAGGTGGAGGATTAACCAAGTGAGCCATGGCGCCGGCCCCGTTCTTCATCTTTCAAGATACCAGTGCTCGCTCCCTCAGATTGCTGGGGCCCTAAGTGGGCCTCAATCACAGCAAATGGGCAAAATACCCTCCTACGTACACACACACACACACACACACACACACCATGCTTCCTTCAGCTCCATGGTGACACCACTGACCCTGGACTTCTAGGGCCTGATGGAGACTGCTATAAGCAGCTGTGGTCACGTACCTCCTCTTAGTCTAACCCCTGTCCTCAATGGGACGCCGGCTCGTCAGGCCCAGTGTGCTGGAGGGCAACTCGCTTGTTCTTCTTCCAGCCTGGCCATGAGCTTGAACTGAGAGCCGCCAGGTGCCAGGCCCTGAGCTGGGCACCGAGTCATCCAGGATGAGCCACTCGTGCCCTGTCTTACCCTCATGGAGCTTCCGGTCCAAGGGGAAGACAATCACCAGGTAAACAAACCTCGCAGAAAATAACCACAGACCACAGGGCCAGCCAGGAGAAGAAAGAGGACGAGGCCTTGGGTCACACTGGGCCAGGCTGGGAGAGTGGGAGAAGGGAACCACTTGAAATGCACCAATCAGTGTCATCTGTCCGAGAGCAGGGGGTGGGAAGGAACCAACCAGAGAGAGGCTGGGCCACAGAGGAGCTTGAGGCAAACCAGGACGATGCTATAGGGGTGCTCGAGGGACCCTCGTTCTGCGTGAGGGAGGGCAGGGCCAGGGGAGGTCGGAAGTCCGAGGTCAGTTGAAGCAGGACCCAGAGGCCCAGGTAAGGCATTTAGGTTTTATTCTAAGTGTACTGCTGAGATTCCACCCTGCCCTCCCTCTGGGGGTGTCCCGCAGCCAGCCTCCAGGGTTCCATCTCTTTCTGTGCACAGCTCCACACTCCTCGTGGTTTCCAGGGAGTTGGACTGGGTCCAGGGAGTGTGTGGCATCAGCCGTGATCTGTACCACAACCGCACACGCTGCCCTGAAGCTCAAGCCTTGTGCTGTGCCTGCGTCCCCTTCTCCCCTCCTCACAGTCAGTTCTTCTTGGAGGATTGATGGCCTTTCCTGCCAGGTGGCTTCAGTCAGAATGATGTGACCAGAGAGTTTCTGGAAACAGCAGATCCCCACTGGGACCACAGTTAGCGGCTGTGGCGCTGTGGTAGTTGGCTCTCAGCAGGTGGGTCCCGGGGCTGATTTGTGGCATCTGCCGATTCCATGGTGTCAGTACTTCCATGGTGGCTGAAGTCGAGCACTGACGTGATATCTCAGGATGTAAGAGTCAGAGAAAGACGAGCAGCGGCAGCCCACAGTGTTCCCAGCTCACAGATGGCAGTCACCCCCACACCCCACACAACAGTAAGACTGCTATGGTTGGATCTCATTTGTTCCCCAAAGGTTCGTGTGTTGGGAACTTGGACCCTAGGGTGGGGGCAATGGGAGGTGGTGTGGAGCCTTTAAGAGGTGGGGCCTAATGGGGGGTCCTTAGGTCAGCAGGTCAGCTAAGGGTGTGCCCTCCAC